CGAGCAAATCGCGGCTTCTATTTCGGCGCGTCAGAGACTGCGTACTTGGCGGCAGCTCGGGTCGGTTCAAGACTATACGAGTGGTTTTCTCGCATTGTGCGAACAAGTTGGCTACATGCACGAAGCGGAGCGGGTGGACCGTTACGTCGGAGGGCTGAAGCCGGACATCTCGCACGAGATCATGCTACGCGGGCTCTCAAATTTTAACGAGATTCTCGCGCTCGCCGAGAAAATCGACATTTTACGCCGTCCGAGACCGGGGTCCTACTACGGACATCGCCCTCGGGGACCGATCGAGCACGCCACCGTACACGCCGTTGCGACGAATGCAGCTGCCGCGCCATTTAAGGGGCGCTGCTTTGCTTGCAATAGGCCGGGCCATCGCAAGAGTGAATGCCCAGAGGAGCTAAGGCGCCGTGGAGCAGAGCAGGGGAGGGAGTCTCCAAGGCAGGGAAACGCCAGCAGTCAGTAGGAATCGGGCCAACTACTGACGAGACTGCCTGCTTGCCCAACCCCACCGACCCTCACCGAGTCACAGTACCGATTCACGCTATCGATCGGGCTCGGACGAATAAGGAGGGTACAGCGACGGATTGCCCAGTACTGATCCACGGGAAAATACAGGGAGCAGCAGTGAAGATTTTTATCGACGGAGGAGCAAGCCACAGTTTAGTTAATACCGCAACCGCCCGAAAACTGCAACTAACACTTAGCCGCTGCTTACCTGAGATAGACGCACGCTTAGTCGACGGCACGCCACTGGCCATACGGGAAAAGGTGGAGAGAGTCAAAGTCCGCTGCGGGGGAAATTTCGGATTTACACGGGAAATGCTCGCAACGACACTTGATGGGCACGACATTTTACTGGGACGTGATTGGCTGCGACGGTATAACCCGCGAATTGACTGGACGACGAGTAGCTGCACTTTGCGAAGTAGCGGTAACTGGGTCGAGCTACCTCGCAGGCAGTCGCCCGAGTCTTCAACGGTACACGTCAATGCCGTCACCATGAAACGGGCTGTCGCTGCTGGAGCTGACGTGTACGCAGTAGACATTGCAGTGGTAGAGGGAGCAGAGCAGCCGAGTGATTTCAAGAAACTGCTAGCAGCAGTACCGCCAGAACTACAGGAACTGTTGAAACGATACCCCGGGATTTTTCCCGACGACTTACCGGAAGGACTGCCACCTCAGCAAGCAAATGACCACCGAATAGAATTAGAACCGGGGGCACAACCAGCTGTACAGCGCCAGTTCAGACTGACACAGCCCGAGCTCGACGAACTAAGGAAGCAGTTAGATTACCTGTTAGAGTAGAAATTCATCCGACCGAGCTCGTCACCGTTCGCCGCACCGATACTGTTCACGCCAAAAAAAGACGGAGGGTTTCGCATGTGCATCGATTACCGAGCGCTCAACAGGGTAACAATCAAGTCGCGGTACCCCATTCCCCACGCCGACGAACTGATCGACCAACTGCGGACAGCACGGGTTTTTTCGAAAATAGATTTACGGGGGGGTTACCATCAGATTAGGGTCGAACCATCGAACTGCGCCAAAACAGCTTTCGGGACTAGGTACGGGTCATTCGAGTACACCGTGATGCCTTTCGGGCTGACCAACGCACCAGCGACATTTCAGATGACCATGAACGAGGCGTTTAGGCCGCTTTTAGACAAATGCGTGATAGTTTACCTCGACGACATCCTCGTCTACAGTCGCGACAAGCAGCAGCACTTAGCAGATCTGGAAGCAGTATTTAAGATTTTAGACGAGCATCGGCTACTGACAAACGGTTCCAAGTGCGAGTTCTTTCAGGACAGGTTAGAGTTTTTGGGGCACGTTATTTCGGAGGCTGGGGTCGAAATTGACCCAAAGAAGTTAGACACGGTCAAAGCCTGGCACCCCCCGACGAATATCACGGAACTACAGAGTTTTTTGGGGTTCGTAAACTACGTACGTCGGTTCGTCCCCGACATGGCACGGTTAACTGCGCCGCTGACAGACTTATTACGTAAGGGAGTCCCTTTTACGTGGGGGGAGAAAGAGCATGCTGCCTTCTTTGCCCTGAAAAATGTTCTTTGTTCACTGCCCGTCCTGCGCATCGCTGACCCACACCGCCCATTCGAAGTAGTTACCGACGCAAGCGACATCGCCATCGGAGCCGTACTGCTACGGGATTTCGGCAACGGCCTACAGCCCATCGCATACGAGTCACGAAAACTGCATCCGCCCGAGAAAAATTACCCGATACACGACCGCGAAATGCTTGCGATCGTGCATGCGTTCAAAGTGTGGCACTGTTACTTGACCGGCACGGACGTGACAGTACGGACAGGCCATAAATCACTACAGTACCTTCGCGCACAGCCTCACCTCAACCCACGACAGATTCGCTGGCTCGATTTTCTCGAGTCCAATTTTCACTACGTGGTCACCTACAAAAAGGGAGCCTCGAACATCGCCGACGCACTGACCCGCCCCACTGCCCAGCTCCACGCAATACTACTCGCCCAGACCAGCCCCCTACTGACAGGCCTATTTACCCACGGGTACCAAACAGACCCATTCTTCACAGGAGGAAATTCGCAGCAGTTCGCAACAGCAAAGGGAGTCTATTACATAAAAGCCGGGACCGACCGCATCTGGGTACCCGGGTACACACTGCTACGGGAATTACTGTTACATGAGGCACACGACGGAGTTACCTCGGGACACTTCGGGGTAGAAAAAACACGGCAGCAGCTGCAGCGGTATTATAACTGGCCCGAAATGTTGACCGACGTACAACGACACGTGGCATCGTGTCCCACTTGCTAGCTCATGAAATCATCACGGCAGCGGCCGGCAGGACAGTTGCAGCCGATACCACCCCCTAAGCGTGCTTGGCAGCAGGTGACGATGGACTTCGTCACGGGGTTACCGGCTGGGGCGAGCAGGAACGACGCGATCCTGGTCGTCGTCGATCGACTGACGAAAATGGCACATTTCGCAGCCTGCAAAAAATCAATCACAGCCGAAGAAACAGCACGCCTCTTCATCTCCACCGTCGTTCGATTGCACGGGATACCAGCAGCAATAATCAGCGACCGCGACACGAAATTCACCAGCAACTTCTGGCGGAACTTGTGGCAGCAGTTTGGCACACGACTACAGTTCAGCTCTTCGTACCACCCCGAAACCGACGGATAGACAGAACGGACAAATCAGACCATGGAACAACTCATCCGAGCCACGTGCGACGACCCGACCACCTGGGAACAGCAACTGCCACTCATTGAGTTCGCGTACAACAATTCACCTTCCGCCACGACCCAACAGTTACCGTTTTACTTGAACTACGGACAAGACCCAACAGTACCCATGACCCCGAATCCCGACAACCCATTGCCACGAGCACAACACTTCGCCGAAATTTTACAAGCAGCACGGACCCGGGCAGCCGACGCCATAAAAAAATCCAACATCATCGCTAAACGTAATGCCGACCGCCACCGCAGACCTGTCACTTACCGGCCCGACGATCTGGTTTTACTTGACACCCAGAACCTCCGCCTGCCCATCACCCCAAAACTCCGCCCCCGATACTGTGGACCATTTCGCATCAGCCACATGATCACACCCGTCACCGCCCACCTCCTCCTCCACGCTGACTGGTACGTCAGCCCCTCATTCCACGTCAGCCTGCTTCGCCCCTACGTCCCGTCCACAAGCCAACTCCCACGTAATCGCCCAGCCAGCATGACACGACCGCCGACCGAACCAATCATCACCCCCGAGAAGATTCTGAGTCACAGAGTTCGCGACCCTCGGGGAGCCCGAAGGATTGAGTTCCTGATCCGCTGGAAAGACCGTACACCCACCGAAGACAATTGGGTTCCCCTGGACAGAATCGAAAACCACCCCGTCCTCACCGAGTATCTGCGTAGCCGAAACTTCAGGGATGTACACGCACTTTCGTAAGGAGGACCTCCTTAGGGGGGGGGGGTAGTGTAAGGAAAAATCATTTTCCTTACTTCGCATCCCTGCTCAGCGCGTACATCACTGTAGCACCACAGTCAGCACCGTTACCACTCGCAACCCTCGCATCGACAATCCTCTCGCCACCTTCGCACGTCGCACCCCGACCTCACGGCTCGGCGGGTAACCCGCGCTCCGGGCCTCCGCTTCGACATTTTCCCCAACCTCAGTCCCAGGCCCGTCGCGCGACAACCACAGTCCATTACCGTTACCACTATAGTTTCGCTATATATTCTTCGTTCATGCCTTCGCTCATTGTACTCTTGCTTCGATAGTGCAATTCTCGCTCGCCCACTCAATTGCACTCGTAACATTATCCCTTAGAAAAATCAGTCAAGTGTATATGTTTAGTCTAGAAATTCAGACAAGGGCCATTGTTTCATCTGAAAAATCAGATCATCTAAGATTGCTCGTATTTCCTTCAGACAAAAAGTTTTCTCCAACTTTTTTTTTCAGATGGGCCAAAAACCTAGCCACAGAGCCCTGCAGCCAACACTAAGCAGTACCTTTTCCACCAAAACCAGCTGGCAAGGTAAAGGACGACGCATTAATGGAACCCACTGTATTCCCTCCTTTCAGAAGGGCTATCAGTTTTTCTGGTTCAAAAACTGGCGCCAGACAAGTCATGTTCTGACACACGTAGGCTGCTGACGTGGCACTTGACATGACGCCAGCAGGCACTGCCGCCTCTGCAGCCGACATATCACCCATGCCCTTGGCAGCCATTGCAAGGGCACGTGGGTTGTGCTGCTGCCAGAAGGCAGCGTCTGATTGGTTGGCAGGATCGATTGGTATAATCTGGGCAAGCAAGCAAAAATGAAGAACGGAGGAAGGAGTGGGCGGGAGGAGGGAGGGGGGATCAGGGGAAGGCTGTACAGCGATCAAAAGGGCATGCAAATTGATCAAGTAAGGCATAGAATAAAAAATCATCTTAATTCATCCACGTAATCCCCCTCCACACCCCATACAGACATCCCCCTTACAGTGCAATTCGGTTGAAACACGGAAAACACTCCATTCAGCAGCGCCTCGGTTTCAGGAGCATCCCGCGGGCCAGCAATGATGACCTGGCGCTGAGCTGGCGATGACGTGGCAGCGAGAAGATCCAGCGAGCAGCACATCTGGGGTAGCGCGAGCGGCATGCGGGAAAGACGGTCGTCAAAGGCCATCTGAGGGGGTTTGGTTCGGGGGGGAAAGGAGCGGGAGAGAGAGCGGTTTAGTGGGGTCGCAGAGCTTCTGCTCTGATTTTGTCCGCAGCACCCTGACAGACGCGGCAGCCCCCTTGGGCTCTCTGGCGTCCATCCACCCACAACACGCCCTCCTGCTACTGTCTCGTTGCATCAGCCGCAGAGTCGGCTACCTGCTGCGCACTACCCCAGCTGACGTCTTACCGCTCTCGGAATGGCACACATGGTGCGCCGAATTACTGAACACTGCCTTGACCGCCGCCAGCATTCAACCGCCACGCCGACAAGCCGAGTTCAACTTCCTTCTCCGACAGGCAACTCTCCCAGTAGCCCTAGGCGGACTGGGCCTTACGGACCCCACAACTGAAGCAGCACCGGCCTACCTGGCATCTACAACAGAGGCGCTACGCCTGCTCCGCTCCCTGGACTTACCGGCAACCGCGCCGCTAGGGGCCGACAGCAACGCCCTGCAGCCGTCTGCAGCGCACTCCGTGACCATCCAGGACATGGAGGGGCGACTGCCACCGCTGGCGCTACAAAACCTACGGGAGGAGCAGCAAACCCCGTCCCAGGACCAGCTGCAGCGCGCCCTCTCCCAGGAAGTGCACGCGGCAAAGGCCGACGCCCTAAGAGAGGAGTCACGCGCAATACAGTCAGCCCCCGAGATGGGCCACACACTCCGCCTAGTCAGCCTGAGAGGAGAGGGAGCGGGAGCGTGGCTGCAGGCACTACCCTTGACCCCGGACCTCTGCTTCTCACCGGGACAGTTCCGAGCGGCCCTGGCCTTCCGCATGGGCATCCGACAGAATGTACCAACCGTGTGCGAGTGCGGAGAACTCGTAGCCGACTGCAGCCTACCCAACCACTTACTCCGCTGCAGCACAGGCCCCGACAGGACGCGCACACACAACCAGCTGGCCTTCGCCATGGCTAAAATGGCGAGGGAGGCGCAGCTGGTGGTATACCTGGAGAATGCGATGTACTCACCTCCGGATGACCCGAAGAAGGCAGATGTGATTGTACAAGACCCGGACAGCGGAGAGACCTGGATCACAGACACCACGATCACTGACCCTGTGCTGCAGAACCGAGACCCCACGGCCCGCAAACCCCCAGGCTGGGCTGCAAGGGAGGCACAGAAGCGGAAGGAGAGGGACTATTACCGACACACTGAACACGTGGTGTTCTGCGCCCTGGCCGTCGAGACCTATGGGGCAAACGCGCCCCCCACGACGGCGTTCCTGAAACTGCTGGCCACAGCAGCAGCTAGGAACCGCTTCAGGGCTAGCCCCTTGGCGAAATCCGCCAAGAAGATGGCCTGCCACTTCAGCCAGCGCTGGTCAGTGGCCCTCCAGCGCTCCCAGGCGAACGCCCTGCACACCAAGGCCAGGGCTGGGATTGAGGCAGCACACCCCCAGATGGCAGCGGACCCCTGGCCGCTGCACCTGGGGGACATCCTCCACACGCTGGAGGGCTAGAGGGTCACTCAGGGGGGAGGGGAGGGGAAGAGGGGTGAGTTGATGGGCTTATGGGATTGAGTTTAGCATGGATAGAACTGCATGTCTGTACCCCTGCTGAATTAATACAACGGACCATTTGAGAGAGAGCGGAGGGTAGGGGAGGAGGGAGGAGCGTCAAGAAGGAACAGCAGCACATCTGGGGTAGCGCGAGCGGCATGCGGGAGAGACGGTCGTCGAAGGCCATCTGAGATTGGGGGAATGGGTGACAGGGTCGAGGAGGGGAGGGGAGGGGAGGGGAGGGGAGGGGAGGGGAGGGGAGGGGAGGGAGGGGAGGGGAGGGGAGGGGAGGGGAGGGAGGGGAGGGGAGGGGAGGGGAGGGGAGGGGAGTAGTGGTAATCGTGACTGCTCTACCCAACAACTTGTGATGCAGGCAGCACGTGAAGTGTGCAGGAGAGGGGTTGGCATATTATGGACCCAAGTATGGATACCTTTTGAGGCGCTTCAGAAGCCCTTTGAGGCCCCTCAAGTATGGATGCCTCCACAGAGGAATATGTGTCACAGAAACCAAAAACGTTTTATTTTGTTCCCATTGCCTCACTCACCACGCATCTCGCTGCTTTCCTGCGGTACTCTGCGCCCCTCTCCCCACCAATCATGGCTCCGAGGCGTGCCAGGCTGGCAGCTGCTGCTGAGCTGGCAGCGGGCTCTGCCCCGTCGTAATCCTCTTTCATGCGCAGCAGCAGCGACGGGTCGCCCTCCGCTGTGTTGAAATAGGCTCCTTGCTGCTCGTCCCAGAAGAGGCGATCCTGTGAGGTGAGGCAGGAGGCAGGGACGGGCGGAGACAAGTAAGCACTCCGCCCCGTCATACGTAATCCTCTTTCTTGCGCAGCAGCAGCGACGGGTCGCCCTCCGCTGTGTTGAAACAGCCCCCCTGCTGCTCGTCCCAGAACAATTGGTCCTGTGAAGTGAGGCGGGGAGGAGTGGAGACAAACTAAAGGCTCTCTGCCTGTCGTAATCCTCTTTCATGCGCAGCAGCGGCGAGGGGTCGCCCTCCGCTGTGTTGTAACAGCCCCCCTGAGTCGTAATCCTCCGCTGTGTTGTAACAGCCCCCCTGTGTCGTAATCCTCCGCTGTGTTGTAACAGCCCCCCTGAGTCGTAATCCTCCGCTGTGTTGTAACAGCCCCCCTGTGTCGTAATCCTCCGCTGTGTTGTAACAGCCCCCCTGTGTCGTAATCCTCCGCTGTGTTGTAACAGCCCCCCTGTGTCGTAATCCTCCGCTGTGTTGTAACAGCCCCCCTGTGTCGTAATCCTCCGCTGTGTTGTAACAGCCCCCCTGTGTCGTAATCCTCCGCTGTGTTGTAACAGCCCCCCTGTGTCGTAATCCTCCGCTGTGTTGTAACAGCCCCCCTGTGTCGTAATCCTCCGCTGTGTTGTAACAGCCCCCCTGTGTCGTAATCCTCCGCTGTGTTGTAACAGCCCCCCTGTGTCGTAATCCTCCGCTGTGTTGTAACAGCCCCCCTGTGTCGTAATCCTCCGCTGTGTTGTAACAGCCCCCCTGTGTCGTAATCCTCCGCTGTGTTGTAACAGCCCCCCTGTGTCGTAATCCTCCGCTGTGTTGTAACAGCCCCCCTGTGTCGTAATCCTCCGCTGTGTTGTAACAGCCCCCCTGTGTCGTAATCCTCCGCTGTGTTGTAACAGCCCCCCTGTGTCGTAATCCTCCGCTGTGTTGTAACAGCCCCCCTGTGTCGTAATCCTCCGCTGTGTTGTAACAGCCCCCCTGTGTCGTAATCCTCCGCTGTGTTGTAACAGCCCCCCTGTGTCGTAATCCTCCGCTGTGTTGTAACAGCCCCCCTGCTGCTCGTCCAGAAGAGCTGATCCTGTGTGGTGGGAGCGGGAGATAAGGGAGATGAGGGGGAAGGGGGAGATGAGGAGGGATGGAAGAGGAGAGATTAGTAGAGCGAGAAGAGGGTAGAAAGGAGGTAGAGGAAGAGTGACGAAGCAGGGGAAAAATCTCTTAATACCCATGTACAAACGAAAGCTAGACCATATACGCATGCCCAAGTCTTCCCCTCATCATCACCCACCTGTGCCCCCCCTCAGCACCCCCACCTGCGTTTCCTGTAGCTCCATGGCCCACGCCAGCCAATCAGAATCGCCCGAGGCTTCAAACAGGTCGAGCAAGGAAGCTACCAGGAAGGCGTAGTCGTCCGCAAACCCCCACACCTCCGATGCGCTTTCCCGGAAGCTTCTCCTCAGCCGTTTGGATTCCTGGTCGTAGAGCTTAGACCGGACGAAAGTCGCCGCCCGGACGGCGCAGGCGAGGTAGACAGACGGCGGGGATCCGTCGTCGGGGAAGTAGTGGGGTGACGTGGCAGACTCTGATTGGAGGATCCGAGCTGCTCGGGCGAATGCAGATATCACAAGGCCGTTCCATGCCACTATGACCTGTCAGGGGGGAGTCATGGAGGTGCGTGCGTGCATAGGGGAGGGGAGGGGTTGGGGGGATGGGCAGGAATGACAAGAGTGGATGAAGATATCATCTGATTGACGCTCTTGATATCAAGAGGGTCAAGGAAGGAACTGAATTCATTTGATAGGCAGCATTTGAATTCATTTGAAGCACCTAACAGGCCGAATGAGGAGGGAACAAAGGAGGGGGACTATGTGAGAGGAGGAAAAATGAAGCTGGGAGGGCAAAGAATACATCTGCTTGTGATGAGTCAATTATTGAGTTGACTAAAAAATCAACTCATCACTCAAGGAAAAGAACTATGTGAGAGGCGGCAAAAAGGAAGCCGGGAGGGAAAAGGATAGATCTTATCATCCTCCCTAGATTTGAGACGTCTCAAAATTAGCTGGAAGGGAAAAGGATACCTGCTATCATCCTCCCCAGAACACACCTTGTCATCCAAGTGGGGGCGCGGTCGCTTGCACCTGGCTTCATGCAGCAGCTTGCGGCACTCTCCCAGCATCTGAGCAGTGGGTTTGTGGAGATTCATGGAACGGTGAGAACGGTGAGAATGGTGAGAACGGTGAGAATGGTGAGAACGGTGAGAATGGTGAGAACGGTGAGAATGGTGAGAACGGTGAGAATGGTGAGAATGGTGAGAATGGTGAGAATGGTGAGAATGGTGAGAATGGTGAGAATGGTGAGAATGGTGAGAACGGTGAGAACGGCGAGAACGGCGAGAACGGTGAGAACGGTGAGAACGGTGAGATGTGTGGAGACGAGTGGAACAGTGAGGTGCGGGAAGGAGGGATTAAGAAAAGAACGCAACCAACACGGCCCAAAACCAGGAAACCTCTAAAACACCCACCCCAGCAGCACAACTCACCTTCTCCGCTTCTTCCTCTGGCACTCCAACCGTCTTAGCAGCGTCAGAAAGCGAGCAGCGCTGGATCAAGCAGTTGAGCCCTGCGAACTCGTTGTGCGGGTCGGAGCGCGGAGAGAGATCGCAGTTGCCGTCCTTGCGAACCGTGTAGAGTGTGTTGAAGAGGCGAAGGCGAGGGGTGGAGGGGCCAAGGATGGACGTAATCTGCATTGATTGGGTGGGACGAGGTGGGAGAAAAGTGAGAAGTCGCAGTTGCCGTCCTTGCGGGACCGTGTAGAGTGCGGTGAAGAGACCAAGGCGAGGGGTGGCGGGGCAGGGCTGAGAGTAGATGCTATGAAGGCTGGAGGGGAGGAAGTAGGAAAGAGATTGATGTTCCCATCCACGTAGAGTGTGCTGAAGAGACGATGGGAAGGGGTGTGGCGGAAGGTGAAGAGACGATGGGAAGGGGTGGCAGGGCCAAGAATAGAAGCAATCTCCAATGATGGGAAGATGGGGAGACAGGAGAAACAACGGATGGGTAACGGAAGGAAGGATGGAAGGATGGATGGACGGACGGATGGCAGGACACACACTCACACACTCACTTCTTTCTCACTCCATACGTAGAAAGCCCCTTCCTTCTTGCGCTCATCCCCAGCACTCACACTCACATTCACTCGGAGAGTGACTTTTGAGTCGACTCAAAAGTCACCAAGGTATCCCTATACTCACACTCACATTCACTCGCACACACTCACACACCCACCTCTTTCTCACTCCACACGTAGAACGCCCCTTCCTTCTTGCGCTCGTCCCCAACGGCCGCCAGGCTGTCAGCGTCCTCCGCACTGTAGATGCCGCCCTCCCCATGTGACATGTCCCGCCGCACATAGTCCAAAATATCCCGCCCCATGCGCGCAAAATCCTTGCGGCCGGTGACGAGGAACGCGTCGAGATAGGCGTTGGCGAGCTGGCCCTGATCGTATAGCATCTTCTCAAAGTGAGGGACTGGGGAGAATGGGGAGGAAGAAGAGGGGGGAGAAGGGGGGAAAAGGAGGGGAAAGAGATAGGCGTTGGCGAGCTGGCCCTGATCGTACAACATCTTCTCAAAGTGTGGGACTGGTCGTGGGAGATGAAAAATGGGGAGATATGGGGGAGGGGAGAGAGAACGGAGTTGGCGAGCTGGCCCTGATCATATAGTATCTTCTCGAGATGGGGGTATGGGGGGAGGAGGTGGAGGAAGGGGAAGAAAGAGGAGTAAAAAAACAACGGGAAATAACAGGAAAGGGTGGTAAATCAGATGAATGCACGAGACGAGCTGGCCACCCTGCCCAACCGCACCTCACCATGCATCACCACGCCTCACCATGCCAGTACTCATCCACAGAGTATCGGTGAAAGCCCCCTCCCACGTGGTCATGCACGCCCCCTCTTGCCATACACTCCAAAGTATGCTCCACCATTTGTAACGGCCCCGGCCCCTTCCACCTCACCACCCTCCGCCCCGCCCCCGTATCCCCCTTCCCCCGCTCACCCCCCTCCCCCCGCAGGTGAGCCCGCAGCAACACGTTGAGTTCGGAGGGGCGGGGGAACTTGGGCGCGGACCCAAACCCCCCCAAGTCCTCATCGTATCGCGAGGCCAGCTGCTCTGAACACAGTTGAACCGCCTTCTCTGCTAGCTTCCACACCCGCTCCTCCTCTTGATCCTGCTGTTTTCCCCCCTGCTGCTGCTCTGCCGCCCCCTTCCCCCCACCCGCCCCTCCCCCTTGCATGGCCTCCTGTAGCTGTGCCATTGCGTCCTCTGCACCGCTCTGCACCTCGCTGCGCCGCTGTTCCCACACGGAGCGAACTCGCCTGGGGAGTGGGGGAGGAGGAGAACAGTGTAAGGCGAGGAAACGGGAGCAGAGAGACGGACGGGTGGAGGAGCAATCAAAGGCATGCAAAATCAGTGGAAGCGGGGTGTGGGGTGAAAGAGTACGAATATGAAAACACCCTACTGGGTGAAACGCAAAAGCACATGCTGCGTCCATCCCCCTGAGCATCAACTCCCACCCACCACACCCCACCACTTCCCACCGCCTTCATCCAAGCCAGAACCCCCCCTAACCCCACCACGCATCATTCCCACCACCACCCCCACCCAAGCAGCCCTCCAATGCGCACCCGAGGAGAGACTTGAAACCGATGCGGCCGTATTTGTCGTCCGGAGGGAAGTAAGTTCCACCGAAGACGGGGTGCAGCGCGGGCGTGAGGAACACCGACATGGGCCACCCTCCCCCGCCCTGCGTGGCCTGCACGTACGTCATGTACACCTGGGGAGAGAAGGGGGGGAGAGAAGCGGCGGTTGTGGGGGTGGGCGACGGAGAGGAGGGAGTGGGAGCAGTACTGCGACAGGGCGTGAGGAACATGGACCTGGGCCACCCGCCACCCGCCCCCGCCCTGTGTGGCCTGCACGTATGACATGTAGACCTGGGGGAGGGGGAGGGTGGTGAGAGAGTAAGGGGGAGAAGGGGGGAGGGAGGTGAAGAAAGGGGGAGAGGGAGGATTTGAGAGACATGTGGGCGTGCCAGCCCCCACCCGCGCCCTGTGTGGCCTGCACGTACGTCATGTAGACCTGTTGGGGGAGGTGTGGGAAGGGGGGTTGCTGGTAAGAAATTCCGAAATCCGCTCTTACACAGAGGGAGTAGCTATAGGCACCACCAAGGATAGGGTACACACGCTTCTTTGCTTAACCACGTCAGCACCCACTCGTTCCCCACCTTGTCCACGTCAGCACCCACTCGTTCCTCACCTTGTCCACGTCAGCACCCACTCGTTCCTCACCTTGTCCACGTCAGGGCGCTCCTCCCTGTCGACCTTAATGTTCACGAAGCCGTCGTTCATGACGTCCGCCACGTCATCACGCTCAAAGGACTCCACCTCCATGACGTGGCACCAGTGACACGTGGAGTACCCCACTGACAGAAAGATCAGCTTCCCCTCCTCCCGCGCCCGCGCAAACGCTTCTTCCCCCCATGGGTACCAGTCCACCTACAATATGGGGAAGGGGCAAGAGGGGGACGGGATGGGGGGACGGGATGGGGGCAAGGGGGAGCAGATCAGCATCTCACGCAGAGAGTACCCCACTGACAGGAATATCAGCTTGCCCTCCTCCCGCGCCCGTGTAAACGCCTCCTCTCCCCACGGATACCTGTCCACCTGCGGTATGGGAGAGGAGATGGGAGAGGGCAGGGAGAGGAGATGGGAGATGAAATAGGAGGTCAGTCAAAACGCCTCCTCCCCCCTGCGGTATGGGAGAGGGGACAGAGGAGAAAAGAAGGAATAGCTTACAAAGGCTTCAAGGTATTAACAACTGTGCGGAACGGAGGATAACGTGCGCGGAGGGGAGCTGTGCGGAGGGGAGGATAACGTGCGCGGAGGGGAGGTGTGCGGAGGGGAAGACAACGTGCGCGGAAGGGAGGGATAAATATGTACCGGGTTATGCGCATGCTGCAGCAGATACGGGCTCTGCTCCTTGGCCAGTCGATTCGTGTACTTGTGCGTCTTTCCCGCGCTCTCCCCGCCTCCCCTCTCCTCCGCCGTTCTGTCAGCTGCGCCGGGGGCCTCCTCCTTCCGCTCCGCCTGTTGTTTCGCCCCCCGATCCGCTTCCGCCATCACCCGCACGTTGCGCGGAGGCGCTTGCTCCGACGCCATCCCGCGGCGAGCGGAAGAAGCCGCGGAGGGAAGCGCGGAGGAAGTCGCGGAGCGAAGTGGGGGAAACGCAAGCGGAGATCGAGCGGACGAGCACGCGGAAGAGACGGATCTGGTTTCTCTAGCGCTTGCTGCGCCGCTTGATGCGCCGCTTACTATGGATGTTGCGCTTGCTACGTTTGTTAGGCTTGCGACTCCGGAGGGAGCGTTTCTTGGTAGTCTGAAGGGCGATCGGCTGTTGGAAGAGAGAAATCGACGGGAGATTGAGAGACCGATTCGCGATGACGGTGATGGCAGTGACTGCATTGCGGTGGCTTGTGGGTGAATTACGAGGGTGTGGCTCAGGGACGAGCTTCACAGTTGGTTTATTTTCGGCGGTTACTGAGTTACCAGGAGAAATTGGTCAACGCGAATTGCGCGCCAAATGGAGGAGGCGTTTCAATCAAAGCGCGGCACGAGCGGGAAAGAGGAGAACAGGACACCTGTCGGCGGGTAAGCCAAAGAACATTGAGCAGAATCTCGACTCGAAGCGTGGAAAATGGAGGTGCTGTGGTATAGATTCCCCAATCAGAAGCGCAGAGGGGACAGCATGAGTACACAAGGGCGAATTTGGGTTGGGTTGGGGTATGAGCGAGCCGTATTGAATTTCCCTATCTCGCCGTGTGAGGGGTGCATTTTCAGCCAATGCATTCGCGTTACGAGAAGTTACATGAGAAGCTCAAAATCGCTTACGTCGTGAGTGCTGCCACTAGTGTGCAGGTGCATGGGCTGCGTGAAAGCCATTGCACATCCGACACGTGGCAGGCAAATCGTTCACATGGCTATATGAACATGAGCTGTGCATCATATACACATGTATAGAGAATTTGCTGGCCCATGTAGATAAACCCTGTACATCGGAATCGGGTTTTCACCACAAACGAGTAGCGGAGCGCAGTCATACGAGGACGTGGAATTCCAAATACAAAACGATTTTTCTGACGAGTCCTATGGCGTGATCACACAACAACCTTCCTAGCAGCATTTGCCTTTCAACTCCCCTACCTTTCTGACTCTCTAGCTCGTTCCCTCTAGCAAATCCGCCTTGGAATATCTCACTTGATCAACAGCCAGAACGAATGGTGGTGCAGGCTAGGGTCACCTTCCGTAGCAGTCCCCTCTCGCCTGTGCGCCCTTAGCCGTGTTCCCCCGTGCCCCGCCTGCCGCCGCCATGCATATCGCCTGGACTTCCGCCGCGAAAAGCGCAAAGAAGCGCAAGCGACTCGCCAAGGGCGGCGATGTCGTTCTCCGCGCGTTTGGGGATTCCGAAGACGTGGCAGCAGAACCTACAATTGA